GCTCTGAAATAAGATTTGAAAACAGCGGTTTGAACTAATCAAGTCAATTAATGTCTTCTAGAAAAAAACACAAGAACTAGTAAAGCAACATTGGTAAGGAAACGAGACCAATTATTAAAACAAACACTGAGCAACAACAACAGGAAAAAGTGACTCTACAGTTTAAAGCTTTTTTGAAGTGATGACTGCTGTTTAACGCCGCAGTTTGTGATGGCAAACTTGAAAACGCTGAGTTATGGGCAAATTCAGCGAGTAAAAGAGGTCCCGGCGAAAGCTACGGTTTTGAGCCCCATCTGGGCCTGACTTTTGCCCCATAGCGCAGCGTTCTTGTGATAGCTTTGGAGCGCGAACTGTTGCGCTAAACAGCAGTTATCACGTTAAGACTAACTTCAAAACATGCAAGAAGATTCTGTTTGCCGCCGACATAGACTAACCGGCTGACCACATTAAAATTAGGGAGTGCTGCAGGCAATGGCACAAAAAGCCGTAGAGCTGACCCTCAGTGAGAGGGCAAGAACGGAAGAGTTGGGCGATGAAGCCAAATACTACTTTATTCCTTGCTGTGACAAGATGAGCAGAACTAGTTGCTCCCGCTGCAAGACAGTAAGTGTAACATATAGTCTTGGAAATTACATAAGAAATCCACATCACCCATCGCTCCTACAAAAGGGTTCTTTCAGTTAGTGGAGCCCATTTTCGAAACCGTTTGTTGCATGCTGCAAAGGTACATGTGGAGACCACAAGAGTGTAATTCGTTTCGACTGTACGATTCCACGACCTGGAAGACACCCTTGTTAGTGTTGGCTGTCCTACTGATGTTACGGACTGGCGGCCATCATTTTGAGGATCTTCAGATGATCGGTAGAAAAAGCCACGCTTTTTTGTTCCACTCACATTCTAATATACTATCTATTATATGAAACTAGATCACTGGAAGATATATTTCATCCACTGCAGTTACCTCCAACATCGCCTCAGTATGACAAAAGATATACACCAAATTCCGGAGGTGCTGTAGGCGTGGCTACATACTTCATTTGAACGTGGCGGCGGCTGCACTTTTGCTGGGGACATTTTTACTTTTGGACTATTGTGATCGTGTCTTTGTCCAACACGAGAAAACAAGACATCTGTGTGAAATTGAAACATCCCGCGAGTAACCAGTACTACGCCATGTTCCAATAAAGAGCACAGCCACGCCTACCGCGCCTCAGGGATGTGTAGAGTAACTACTTCGTAGATAATTCCATAACTCAGGTGTACGGCATTGGCGGAATTGCAAGATCTCTCCGAAGAAGCAAAGCAGCCTTCGACGCCTTTTTGCCTAAAAAGTAATCACAAGACATTGCAGCTCAGCAGCTACAATTAGCAAAACTTTGATTCTATACCGTATGCTATCTCTTGTATAACTGTCATGATTCCAGACTCCATTTTTTCCAGTTCATGCAGAGCTTCTCTGTCTCCTTGAGCAGATAGTTGGTCAGTATATACAGACAAATAGTCGAACAACTGAAGAGATGCATAAACGTGATGGCAAATCTGAATGCTGCAAGGAAAGTTACCTTTTCCGTTCGTTCTACGATTTCCACGCAAGCCTGCCTACATGTTTCAGGCCCAGAGGGGCTCATAGCTGGTTCTACCGTGATATCGGTCATATCAGAGTCATTCGAGTTACCCGAAATAGCTCCATCATCGACATAGGACTCCATATAGTCTGAATGGTCTACTGTTGTGATGAGCATTAAAAAAATGAGTAGCTTTCGTAGTTGACCAATACATTTTTGCGGGTGTCACATGCATTCTAGTACCACTCACAATTATATTGGCTTTCCGGAGAGAAGGTTTGATATCTGGGCGGGAGACGATTTCCTTCATAACCCAAGGATCATGCGCGTGATTAGACCGCCTTCAGACTTCGCGAGTCGCGCCTCGCAGTGCGCCGACGCGCTGCAGCGCACTGTAACGCGCTTTGCAGCTCGAAAAGTGTACCTTTCTTTTCTTGCTCTCCCTTGATATTTTTGTGGGTCGAATGCCTGGAGTGGAACGAAAACAATTTAGTGCTCAGATAAGTGGGAACAATATAAAGTGTAGCAGGCATGACACCACATCAAATACGAATAACTCATTGAGATTGCATGTCGAAGTTATAAAGAGAATCTAAATTGGGTACTATTCAACTATTACTACCCTGAAAGTCAAAATTTTTCTATATGAAACCCTGTCCATGATGCTTGATCACTTTAGTGAATATCGCGTTAGTGTTTGGCGCTGGCATCGTTTGGCGCAAATTTGCCGCCAACATCTTTCCCACCAAATCCGATGTAAACTTGCATACTCAGGTCATTTGTTGTTTTGATCACAACTATGACTTAGCTTAGCACGAAGTCGCTACCCGCCTGATCCCTGAGAAGAGTTTTCGGCGAATTTGGTGATTTATGGTATTTTGGCGCCGGCGTCGGTGGCGTAGGCGCAGGTGGTTCCGTGCCAGGCGAACATATTCACGTTTAAAAGGTCGAACTCCCTCTGAATACAAACTTTCAACCCTCTCAGAGCGCGTTCAGACTTCGCGATCGCGCGATCGGATCGCTTGGATCGCGCGATCGGATCGCGCGATCCGATCGCGCTACTGAGGGTGAAATTACTGCGGGAGGGGGTCATGTTCGTTCATGTTCAACTCAACTCAACAAACAACAACAACAAAGTTCTGGGAAGGGAGCGTACTAATATCACCATTTCTCACATCACGATGCTGTATCCTGCCTCCAATAGGCAGTTCCAAAAACGATATAAAAGTAGTTCGACCTTTTTTGATGTCTTTTATTCCGTGTTCATATTCGCAATACTGACGTTTGCAGAAACCGTCGAAAGGAAAGGTTGTGTATAGACCTGGAGGATGGCAGAACAAACAAAGCAAACACAATGTGACAAAAGTAAAGTGAATATCTGGAGGACTGGCAAAATCGGGGGAAGGGAGAGAAACAACATCACCCGCTGTTGAAAGTTCTGCGTGTCTTACTTTTGGAACAAGATGTTCAATACTCCGCTTGAACGTACTCAGATGCAAAATTCAGTATAATAATTAGCATATTGTATATTTAGTACTATTTTACATAGGAAATAATAAATAACTCAAAGATATTTCGAAACGTTCTTTAAAATTAGGAGGGCGTTATGTACACAAAGGAAGAAAGAAGGAAAAGAGAGAGAGCAGGATCAATAAACATATACGCACATAACCCCCTCCCGCAGTAATTTCACCCTCAGTAGCGCGATCGGATCGCGCGATCGCGAAGTCTGAACGCGCTCTTAGAAAGTATCTGCCCTCGTAGGAAGAAATCGGTGAAAAACAGGCCGCGTTTCGGAGATTGGGGTAGCAGTTAAATAATGCCTAGAAATGAAGTATAGATGAAAAACAATGAAAGAAGAGTTCAAGGAAAGCAGGAGGAAGAGACCTGAACACGAATATCACATCCACTTGGCCTGAAAATGCCTGGCGCCCGCGCCACAGGCGCCAGTGATTTGGGGCATTTTGGCGCTAGCGCCCGTGGCGCGGGGCCGAGCGGTTTCAGGTCGAGCGGGTGTGATATTCGTGTTCAGGAGGTCGAACTACTCACGTACAAGTTTTCAGCGGATTTGGTGATCTAGGGTACTTTGGCGCCGGCGCCTGTGGCGCGGGCGCCAGGCGTTTCGGGAGGAGCGGATGTGATATTCGTGTTCAGGAGGTCGAATTACCCCTAGAACCCAACTTTCAGCCAAATCTGCCCCGTAGAAAAAGTCGATCAAGATCCGGCCCGTTTTCGGAAAATTGGGGTAGTAATAGTTGAATAGTGCCAGCGAACCAAGTGCCATAGACCACCTCAGCCACAACTATTTTTTTACTATATTCCAGAATACAGGAGGTAACTACTACGTTACACTCCATAAAAATCGTTGTGAAATATGAGACAAACAAAGGATTATCTACCAGGCTATTCAGAGAGTATTGGGAGATATCTCCCTCCACAAATGGAAAATACATACGCCTATTTACCTGAAATCCCTGACTCGACATTATCCATGCAGTGACATGCACCAGTGGGACAGACGTTGCACATAAATATTTGGGTGGTTCCAGGTTCAGAATCATCGTCGCTATCAGGCGATACAGTAGCATTATAGAGGTGGCCAAAATGCATATCGCAATATTCTACGCCAATCTTTCCCGTAGTCTCACTTACAACAACCTGAAGTAGCAAGAAACGCTTGTTAAACTGACGACATAAGATTGCTGGAATTCACCTTCAGAAAGGATGTGCAGGCGGACTGATATGGCGTACTAGCACGTTTTCTTTTCGGATTCAAAACCTTCTTCCTCTTGAACGATCTAGAATGTGTTCAGAACTAGCAAACCGGCAAATGACCATGTGCCTCTCAAAACTAAACTTTGAAGGGGACACGACAATAAGGGAATACTACAGTGAAATCCCTACTTCCTACGAAATTAACAGGGAAACCTCTAGTTTAGGGTATGACACATATTTTTACTTGCTGTCCATGAAGAAAGTGAGAGCCAGCGTTGCTCAGGAGGGCTACCAGGCAGTCCGTCTAGGTCCACGTCTACACTCCGCTGGGTCTAACTTATCTTACCCAGATTGGGCGGAGGGGCAAAAAAGCGTAATCGCCTCCCTCCCAAACCCTGGTGTCCTGATTCAAAACGAAGTTGTGAAGTATGCGCTAATATTTGAAAGCCACTTTGCGAATCAAAGAACAAATTAAACGTAGTAAATCCCTGAGAAGAGCAGGATCAATACGCCTGGCAAGACGGAATTCCGCCTCGCAGGCACTGCTGCGTCTTTTCAAAGAAGCTACCCGTATGAGGCTCTATCAAGCTGCAATATATCGACCCGGTCGTCTATTTGGGGCGCCCATCGCGCCCACAAATGGACGACCGCACCTGTGCTCTTAAGGCTTCATTTGCGAATATGAAGCGAAGGGACTAATATGAAGCGGCTGCGTGCTGCATGGATGTATAAGTATTAGGTTGTTCGGAAAGAAATGCGCGTTGAATTTGTCCATTCGTTTCTCCTACTATAGAAGATTTTTTAAAACAGTTTTGTCTATTAGAAAGAGATTTTTATTGTGCATCTTTTGATATATTTTTGTCTATGTCTACTTTGTTTTTTTAAAGAAAAAAAAAGTTACTTCTTCTCTCTTCTTACTGCGTCGTCAAGGTGTCGAAACGACGTCGACAAAACTCCTCCACGACAACGCTCGTCCACATGTCGCGAAAATCACTTTGGAAAAAATTGAGGAATTGGGCTGGGAAGTCCTGCCTCATCCGCCATACAGCCCAGACCTGGCACCATCCGATTACCATCTGTTCCGGTCGATGCAGCACTCCCTGGCCGAGAGAAAGTTCACAAACCGCGAAGAAGTCCAACTCTGGGTGTCCAACTACTTTGAGTCGCAGCCGGCCGAGTTCTTCGAAAGAGGAATCCATTCTTTGCATAAACGTTGGCAACAAGTCATTGATAGTAATGGAGATTATCTTTTGAATTAATCTTGTTTAATTTCGTTTTTATAATAAAAAATTTTTTAACTCAAACGCGCATTTCTTTCCGAACAACCTAATACATACGTGGGCCGTACACCGTAGCGGTTATTGGCACGATACCTACGAGAAACTCGTCCGAAATTCCGAGTCATGACGAACCAAGGCTTTTTTTGCAGGTTTTGACCGTTTCACTTCGTTTTTTCGCCATTTCTCACTATACAGCACCCTGCTAGCATTTCAGACCGAGCATCAAATTATCGTGCCATATGCCTTCAAATACCACATCTTAACTATGTAACCTAGTAGCATACCGCTTACACTTGTAATACTTCGTCGTGAAGCCATTATTTGAGCAAGTACTGTAACATGCCCACGAAGCTGAAATGCGTCGTTCTTGCTTTTCTTTCCAAGCCTAAACTGCCCATACAAATTAAGAACCTCCCTAAGATGCTGAGCGATCCGTGTTATAAGTTGGAAAAACGGTACTCACCATGAATTCATCCCAATCCGAGAATCGCGTAGTTGCAACCACGCCTTGGAATCCGTGCTCCGCACGTGCGTGCTCAATTAAGGCTTTAGTACCGGAAGTATAAGTGGAACATTGCGGACACATCAAAACATTACGACTGGCAGAACCTCCATCCTCAGTGCAAGAACGCTGTCGATGATACCTTAAATATATTAATTTGTAATGATGTAATATATAAGCTAAATACCTGTTCATGGACCTCAAAGTATGCATCCTGATCGCTTGTTTTGTCGGGCCTCTGTAATCACACATGGAGCATTCATACTGTTTTGTAGCCCTTGAAGCCTTCCTTTTTCTGTTGCATAAGTGAGGATGCGGTTTCATGCCCGAGATCACCGTGAATTCGACGCAGATGTCGTAGATAATTATCGAACGAGGATATCGCAATTCTACAGAGTGCACACGACCACCCATCCATCGCCTACAAACAGCTTCATGATTTCTAATTTGGATATCTTGGAATAATTGAACTGTCGCAGCATCAGGAGTTAGTAGATCCAGCCTAGATTCAGATACGAAAAAAATGAGTTCATTTAAAGGCAGTTGGCACGATAAATCGCTATACAGGTGTAGGATTTATACGACTGGCTTAACAGAATTCCGTGACCTCGGACAGGCGCTGCATAGCGGTTTCCCCGAGGAAGGTGCCCTTATAAGGGCCCTATCAAGCCACAACTTTACGTCCCAAACGCCCGCCCGCCCACCCACAAACGGACGACCGTTCCTGACGCTCGTATTCATTCATTTGCTGAGCAAATTATGAAGCAAAGGGATTGGTATGAAGCGGCCGTGATGCTGCATGCATATATGGGTACACATATGCAGCCGTATCTTCGGTAGCGGTGATTGGCAAGATGCGTACGGGAAACTCGTCCGAAATCGATTTTCAAGTCACTGAGAACGGAGGCTTTTTCTTCGCCGGATTTTGACCGTTTCACTCCGTTCTTTCCATTTTCCCCACTATATAGCGCCCTACTAGCATTTTAGGCCGAGCATCAAACCATACGTGTCAAACTGAACTGGCCTTTAAAAAAGTCCGGCATATCACTCACAGTTAGCACGAACTATCCACTTTTCACACAATTTGGCTGTTTCTATGCTGATTAAGGTGCTGACGATGTTAGGCTGCTTTCATACGTTGGGTAGCGAACATCAGCGTATAGCAGCGTTTCAATCGACCAATAAAGAATGGATATCAATCCAACGTTCCAGTATTCACAAGCGTAGTGTATCGCAGGACGGTTGGGCATGTAAGGCAGGAGGGTTTCGCCTGTGCAAAAACTCCCTGCCTTACATGCCGCAACGCGTGCCTGGCGATACTCTAGCGCTTTGCGTGAATACTGGAACCTTGTTGGCTGCCTGAACCGCAATCTCCACAAGTTGTTAAGGCGAGCAAGTGTTATGACTGGATCATACCATATAACTCGTTTCCTACCACTTTTGTCGCATGCGCGCTTCAATAAGAAGGCAGAGAACGCTTTGTGACGGCGTTGACACACTCATAGTGCCTGACACGCCCAAACGTCTGCAGCGAACTGAAGTGTATGTCAACGTTTCGAGCGACTAGGAAAGGGTTTACGGACAACTGAAACTCAGTCCCTTTGATGGCGCCGGCCCGAGACTTCTTTTTTTTTCTCTCTGTGCTCTCACGTCTTGCTAGGCGTTCTGGTGACGCACCTGACCTTCCACATTCCAACTTTTCAACGGCACGAATAAGTGGTGTCATTCACTCCTGTTCGCGGATATGTTGTTCGTACCACTCGATCCCTTGGCGACCGCAGTTCTTTGTTTCTCTGCGCTCTGGCCTTTCGTAGTAGGACTCCCATCAAAAGTGTTAAGCGGTTGCAGGCTCGCGCATTTCACTATACCTCCAGCAGTCTGGCACCCTTCTTCTCAACACACACCACTCCTTGGTGGACGCTGACGTATGCTAGACATACCTATTCTTTGCTAAGTCGCTCGAAACGTTGGCTACGCTGAATGATATATATAGCTTTCCTGAACACTGCCGCTCGATATAGCTAGTGGACGCCTTGCAGGGCCGCTTGTAGACGCTCTGACAGTGTACGAACGAGCCAATGGCTTCCTGAGCATTTAACTGATTTTCCGAATCAGATTCCCCCTTGTAGCATGCAATTTGACGAGAGATGAAAGCGCAAGATAGGAAGGAAGCGCAACTAATACTAGTAAGACAACGAAAAGGGCCCCGGCCTAACTTGGTTGGAGGGGCCACGCTTGGCAATTAGGGTGCTCACAACTGTGGAGATCAGGGGATCGCAAGGCGTGGCCCTGCGATCTTGGAGAGATCACCCGCCGGTGGTCAAGAGGACCAGGGGTCTGCTATAAAAGGGCGGCCCAGTTGTTGAGAATGAGTTCGGTATTCCTCCTCTTGGTCCCGGCCAAAACCTCCCGCCGCCGTCTTCGCCGTCGTCGCCGACCAGGATCACTCTCATCATCGCGCCAACGTCCCAATACAACGTCAACGCCACCAACACTTCATAATATTCTACTTCTGTTAATATTACCTTCCTGTAATCTAATAAATTTTGTTGTCTACTACTGTATTCACCGTAGAGTTCTGTGTAATCATACCGGGCCTCACACTACATGGGGCCAAGCCAAATCACAGAGCCATCTGAGGTGATTACAGTACCCCTCCAAGGAAGCACTGAGACGCCGAATAGTGAGAAAGGCGCAGTGCTGCTCTACGGTGTTTTGATGTGTGAACACTGAACGCCGAATAGACAGAAAGGCGCTTGCTACAGTGTAGTCAAATGACTGACTGCAGGTACAGAATAGAAGGTGTGGAAACTCTGGATATGGCTAGGTCAATAGCCCAGGAGACGGACAGCACCGAGAAGAGTGAAGCGAGTACCGTCGAAAACGGGAAAGCGATAGTTACTATGCTGAGGGAGGAGATCGGAAAAGCAATTGAGGTTGTGAGGGCGGTAGCCCCAAAGAACAAAAGTGATTTAGAGAGCGCTCGAATAGCAGCAAGTCATAGAGAGGTCGTAGAGAGATCAGTTGCGGGTGATATTGAGGTGTGTGAGGCGCTGGAGATAGTAAAGAAAGGCGCAGAGACACACTTGACTTTCGGAAGAGCAGTAAC